GAGAGAGAAGAGAATGAGGGCTGACGGAGGAGGAGAGAGAAGAGAAGGGACGAGGAGAGACGAGAAGCGAGAAGCCAAGAGAATACGGAGAGACAGGGGAGACGAGAGAAACTGAGAGCAGAGACAACGAGGAACGAGAGAGAGAGAGAAGACACGAGTAATGGAAAGAGAAGAGAGGAGGAACGAGAGAGAGAGAGGAGAGAGAGAGAGAAGCAGATGAGAACACAGAGAGAGAGGAGAGAGACGGCGAGAGAGGAGAGAGAATGGAGAGGCGGAGAGACGATGAGGCGACCGGAGATCAGCACGGGAGCCACGAGATCCGACGAGAGAGAGACCGAGAGCACGAGACTGACCGACGGACGAGAGACGAGAGAGAGAGAGAAAGAGAGACGACGAGAGAGAGATGAGAGACCACCAGCCCTGAGGAGCCGAGAGAGCGACTAGCCCGGAGAGCGAGAGAGGGAGAGGGTGCGAGAGAGAGAGAGAGAGAGAGAGAGAAAGAAAGAGAAAGAAAGAGAAAGAATGTGAATAAAGCGCACTATTCCAGCTGCGACAAACCATACAGGTAGAACCAAGGTTTGTAAAAGAGAGAGCGAAAGAGAGAGGGAGAAAGGGAGACAGAGAGCGTGCGAATGAAGCGTTTCGTTTCGCCGGCCCTCTCACCTTCTCGCGATCGTTGTGCCCACCCTCCGACCGCCACATGGCTGCCTGCAGCGTCGCCCGATAGCTGTTGAAGTTCGACGCCGGGTCCATCTGGTGCTCGAGAATGTCAAACTTAGACGTGTCCACTTTCGACCACTGCAACGCGGAAACGAAACCGGTGAGCAAGGAGAAATACAGATCCCAGTTATCAAGGAAACCAGAGGCAAGTGAATCGATGTTTGATGTTTCTAGATGGGGTTAGAGGCAGGCGGGTGGGTAAAGGGACGCACTGAGCAAGTGAAGGAAGATAGGCGAGTAGGGGAGGCGGTATGAAGGCAAGCGGGGTAGGCAGGAAGGTGGGTAGCGAAGCGGGCAGGTATAACTCGAGGAGACAGGCGAGAGAATAAGGAGACATGCCGAGCAAGTTGGTGAGGTAGGAGGTTGAGGGGGCTAGGCAAGCAGCTGGGGAAAATAGGTGAGGGGCTAGGGTGGCAAATGGGGGAGACAGGCAGGTGGGTAAGGAACCAGGCAGCCAGGAAGGGGAGGGGGTGCTTATGCAGGTGTATGGAGCTGAGTAAGGTGGGTGGGTCTCGCTCACCAACGTTACGGATCCGTTATGGATTTGGTTAGAGTAATAGGGATGAGTAGGGTTATGCATTTATGAATTACTGAAGGTTACGGACGAGGTTAGGGTGAAGAATGCGGTTAGAGTTAGGGGCGAGTTTAGAAATAGGAGTGAGATTAGAGTTAAGGGTGAAATTGGAGTTACAGGTGACAATAGATATAGGGGTGAAATTAGTTAGGGGCGAGATTAGGGATGGGGTGAAATTGAAGTTGGGGTGAGATTAGAGTTAAGTGCGAGTTTAGAAATAGGCGTGAGATTAGAGATAGGGGTGAGATGAGAGTTAGGGGTGTAATTTGAGCTATGGGTGAAATTAGAGTTAGGGGTTCAGTTGAGAGTTAGGGGCGAGTTTGGGGTTATGGGTGAAATTAGAGTTAGGGGTGAAATCAGAGTTACGGATGAGATTATAGATAGGGGGTGAGTTTAGATTCACTAATGGGTAATGGGCTATAGTTAGTAATAAGGATAGGAGTTAGCATTAGGCTTACCGTTTTCTTTAGGCGCGACACGGGCGCCATGTTCATTCCTGCAACGATCGCCATGAGAGAGTTGAAGTTGCCGAGGTTGAAGCACTCCTTAGCAACGTCTATGAAGTACTCGATGATTTTGGCTCGTTGTTTTTTCTTGACGTTCTGGAAAAAAAGAGAACAAGAGGACGTGAAAACACACGAGCGTAGGTGAAAGCAAACGCACAGTAGTTATTAAGAACGCGACCGAACCGTTTGATATCCACGAATAAAACTGAACGATGAGATTTCACCTGACAATTTTCACCCCCGCTGACAACGAATAATAGTTTTAAACCAACTTTTAACTAATAAAATCTGGTTCATTTGATGCTTTGGATATACCCAACCGAGAATCAAATTTCTGGTCGATTCTGATATTCGACCAACCATTGGACATCACGCTGCCTTGTTTAAAAAAAAAAACATATCTACACAACGAGATGACAGCGCTAATAAATATAGATAAAAGCGGTCCGCGCCCAGGAAGGAATAGCATTTTCGAGCGTGATTTTACCAGGCATATGTCCGTGGCGACCAGATAGCTAAGGCGGTTGAACCACTTTGCGTAGTATTCCAGGTTCTTCGTCTTCTTCATCTCCGTGATCTGCAATACGAACACACGATCGATATATATATATGCAATATGTGGTTAGGTGAAGATTGGCATTCCCTCATGTTTAATCATTATAGCATATATGATATAATGCTGGATAATTTTATTTTTCACTCACGATACATGCGTCTAAACAGAGGAATTGCTCCGACCTGTGATTGGAGGATAAAAATATAATTCGTGACGTTTTGTTTCACCGGCCATAGCCGCGCGTGTATTAGCCTATGATCAATACCGCGCATGCATATTTGCTAATTAATCAGACTAATCGTGCTTCAATAAACTCAAAATTCACAGATTATAGCTAAGACATATGTCTATAATATCTAGAATTTATAGAAATGTAACTCAAATCATTCGCGCCATATGAATGATTGTTAGTACACTTTCCTACCGGCCATAGCCGCGCGTGTATCAGCCTATGAGCGATAACGCGCCGCGTGCATATTTGCTAATTAATTAGACTAATCGTGCTTCAATAAACTCAAAATTCACAAAGATTATAGCTTAAAGACATGTCTATAATAGCTAGAATTTATAGAAATGGAACTCAAATCGTTCCCGCCATATGATAGTTGGTACACTTTCCTACAGGCCATAGCCGCGCATGTATTAATTAGCCTATGAGCGATAATGCGTGTGCATAATTGCTAATTAATTAGACTAATCTTGCTTCAATAAACTTAAAATTCACAAAAATTATAGCTAAGACATGTGTCTATAATAGCTAGAATTTATAGAAATGTAATTCAAATCGTTCGCGCCATATGAATGATTGTTAGTACACTTTCCTACCGGCCACAACCGCGCGTGTATTAGCCTATATGAGCGATAACGCGCGTGAATATTTGCTAATTAATTAGACTAATCATGCTTCAATAAACTCAAAATTCACAGAGATTATAGCTAAGACTAACTATCATATGGCGCGAACAATTTGAGTTACATTTCTATAAATTCTAGCTATTATAGATACATAACTCAAATCTTTCGCTCCATGTATGATAGTTAGTACAGTTTCCTACTGCATGGTCATATATAGTACAGTTGATAAGCTCTCATATTATAACAATTGTGCATTTTATGAGAAAAGCATGAAATTTCTAGCATAGTTAGTATATACCATGATGTTTATTTTCAGATGTGGAGGGAAGTCAGATTTGACCTCTGAGGACCGTGAGAGGTCAAATCCAAGATGGCCGCCAGTCCACCGGGTCTTAATGTTCAAACGCGCTTAATTTT